ATGTGAGTCCCTTTGACAGATGGCAGACCCTAAGAACAGTTGGTGAATGTCTGTTGTGGTCCCAGCATGGCTGTGGGTTCTTTGAAATAGGAAGCTGTACATAGTGTCTGCTCTCAGGAAGTTAAGTTTTCCAGAGCCTTGAATGCCAAACTGATAAGCCACAGTGTTGTTCTTCATCCCATGGAGGCTTAAGCAAGGGCAGAATCATACCACGGAGGCTTAAGGGTGGAAAGCTCTGACTTCTCACATGCCCTTCCTGTGTCTGTAAATGGTCTTGTTCCCACCCTCTCTCCCCCTCTTCATGTCACCATCCCTATCTTGGTTTGTCTGTCTTCTGTCACACTTTGTTTAAACATCTACTTCCTCAGAACACCCTTGGAATGTCATTCATACCTGCCGCCACAACAGTCTATCACAGGATCTATGATTCATTGCTTTAGAGATCACTGGACTACCAAATGGAATAGTTACACCACATATATAGTTATCTTTCAGTCCAGCCCTTCCACCAGCATCAACTATCATAAACTCAGAGATCAGGCTTGCGATGATATTGATATGGAAGAGGAGAGGGCCAGGCACAGACCCCAGAAAGCATCAACTTCATAGACAGGAGAAGACAACATCCCAGATGCCAAGGACAAAGGGCTTCAAACAGAGCTTTAGGTGTCAGCATCATGGAGAGAGATAGAGTAGGGCACTGGTGTTTGGGGTTGTGAGCCTAGCCTTTAACAGCTGAACCATCTCTCCAAAGTCTATATGTGTATCTTGTGCCTTTTTTCTTTGGCTATTTATTTGTTCGTTTGTTTCCTATTCAGGCTTGTTTGTTTTTATCTCATTTTGTTATTATTTTCTTCTTTTTTAATTTTGGATACTTGTTTGTTTTCTAATGAGACAGAGCAAGAAAAGATGTGGATTTGAGTGAATAGGGAGGAGAACCGTAATCAGATTATATTGTATGAAAAGAAATCTATTTCCAATTTGAAAAAAAGAATAGAGTACTGCACACTTAGAGGTTCTGTGAGGCTCCAGAATGAGCTTTTGGGCAGCCTTGTGGTAAACAGAGAAGACAAATGGCTTGGGTTAAATATGGGAGCAAAAGGAATGATTGGCAAGAGGAAAACTGGGGGCACAGGCCAATTACTGGGGTTCTTAGGGTCTCAAGCTGGCCCTACCGCTCAGCCACCCTTCCCCAGCTGGCCAATCAAAGAAACAAGGAATGATGAATAGCAAATAAAGACTTCTTCAATGTGGCCTTATCAGGAAAAAATAAAAGGAGTCCCAGTGACCCCAAGTTCAGATTCAGGATCCTGACACAAGGTTTAAGTTTGAACAGAGGACAGGGGTGATGAATAACTGAACAGTTCTTGTCACTGTGTGGCCCTGTCCATCTCCAACTCATAATTCCAGTCTCTCCTACGAGGTGGGGTCTGGCTGGCTCCTCCTCTGGCTGCCACCAGACTTCGACCCTTTCCTTCTCTCAACAAAGAGACTCCTGGGGAAATTGGTTTTAGTAGTCTGATAGCCAAACAGATGGGTTGTAATGTACCTTTAAATATCTTCATTTCTGCTGGGGTAGGTTCAAAAGGGAAGCTGGTGGGACTGAGGATGGGTGGGAGGGCATCATTTGCAACTTATTGGTGAGGGAAGCTTCAGAACGTTCCTCAAGCAACTGGAAGATTCTCAAGGCAGCACCTACCTTCACGTGCACCCATTTTCATCCATTGAACAATGCCAGAAAGTCTTAGAAGAGATAGATTAACAATGGGTGTGTGATAACTAGACCTTGAATGAAGACCAAGAACCAACAGCCATGGCAGGTGGCTATACTACAGAGCCCAACCCCTTTGTAGTCTTCCGGTGTTTAGCAAAATAAATCTACCTGCTCTTACACATATGCTTAAGGAAATACTTAGAAAATATCTCCTCTGCCTTCCTCACCTCTACCATCACTCAGTCTCAAATCTGAAGAGACGTTAAAATGTATCTAATGATCAATAATAGATCCAAAGCAAGGGTAACATCTTCCTTTCCCAAATGTAGTTTCCTTTCTTTCTTTGCATGGCAATTTTTCCTTTTAATAAAGTTTCTTCTTCCACTAAAATATGACAGAGGCATAGACAATAAATAGCATTTCTCATCTTACCACTTCCAAATCCTGAACGAGTTTAATAGTTCACTCCCTCTTGGTGGCTTAAAAATGGAGCTTTTATCTGTGAATCTATAACGCTGTTCTCTTCTGTCCCACTTGCTAAATGGACTCCATTTATCACTCATTTTATTGGTGCTTATCTACCCTAAGAGAAGCTTGATCAGATAACCTGGGCCTTAAGAAAGCAAAGGAGGATTGCTAGGAATGGTTTCCATTGTTTGAGAAGCTCTCTTTGATCTGCAATTTTTAGTAAGGTTAGAGGATATCTCCTGGGTCCCTGCATTTTTTGATTCTCCAAGGAATGGTTCCCTTGGTCTCGGAGACTAGCGAGCCCTGTGCAGAACGTGTTTTCTGGATCTGGTCCTGTGGAATGGTTTAAAGATGAATTTAATCCTTGGTCAGACACTGAACATTCCTAGTTTAATGCTGTGATATAATATGACAGATTTACGTGTTCTTCTGACATAATGAAATGCAGAGCGATGGGGTGTTTTATTTACACTGTAACCTCTTATTTCAACAGGTCACTGGCTTCATATAGGCTTTCTTTGCCTCATCAAAAAAGTCCCAAGTACTGTTAGAAACACCAGCCCCCTCTACCATACTACAAGGACCAAAGTGCTAGGTACTGAAGTCCAGAAGGAAAAAAAAGCAATATAAACAAACAAATAATACCAAGAGACTCAGAGATCTAAGGAACTGCCAGTACCCAAATTCATCTCAGATGCCTAAGTGATCTCGCCTCTACCTGGATACAGAACTTGAAGAACAAATGTTTATTGAGTGAATCTCCTTCCAGATCCATCATTCACTTACCAAACGTTGTCGATCATTCATTCATTCATTCCTTCAGGGAATGTTGTTTGCCTCCAGCGAAGGTGAGTGCGGTTTTCTTCATATGACAAACTAGATACAACTTTGTACTTAAGGAAAGGGGCAGTTTTACGAAGTAACCGGACAAACTTTGATTCAACAGAGTGAACCCCATAGCAGAACACCCTGGTTTTAGGGAAAGAGAAAAGATTAATTCAGGGAGAATTTGAAAATGTCAGAAAATCATGTTAAATTAAAATCGTCTTGACTGCCATGAACCTGAAATTGACCCTGTCAAGCAAACTTGGTTGAACTCAGGTAGAGAAGATGAGGAAGGTTTTTCGCATTCCCTCCCAAGAGTGGAGGGTGCAGGAGTTCTGGAAACATGAAAAGAGTATGAGTGAGTGAAGTAAGCGACATTAACCCCCTCTCCCCCAGCCCTCTCTCTCCCGGCCCTCTCTCCACTAGCCTTCCCTCTCTTCCCTCTCCTAACCCTCCCTCCCCTAACCCTCCCTCTCCCTCAGCCCCCTCTCTCCCAGTCCCCTCTCCCCAGCCCCCTCTCCCCTAGCCCTCTCTGCCCTAACCCACTCTCTCCTCGCCCACTCTCTTCTACTATAGTGCTAGTATTTGTACAAAGGTTGCAGGTTGCATCTTAGTATCCTCAGAGCTAGCACAAAGCATTCCCACAACATGGGGTTTCTGTGTGAGTAGAAGCATGTGGCTGTAAAGAAGATCCAGAGCCAGCTCCTCTGCTACAACCATGGGGAATTTCCAGCAGGAAATGGTTTGTTCCAAGGTGTCCTGATTTGTATCCCCCTACCCCCATCACAGTCTAGAGAGAGAAGAAAAACAGGGCTCATATTAAATTCAAGGCTTGCTGTTCCTCAAAGCGTGGCTGAGTGGTCACCACATGAGCACCACCTTGAGACACCTTACAAAAGCAGAATTTCCCATTTCAACAGCAACCCTGCCTCAGAATGAATTGCGTTCGGTGTCCCAAGATCCCTAGGTGTTTTTTATGCATGGAAATTTGAAAAGCTACTGGGGCTGTGGGGAGGGGTACGTACAAGCTTCCATCCCAGCACTAGTGAGACAGAGGCAAGCAGATCTTTGTGAGTTCAAGGCGAGCCTGGTCTACAGAGTGAGTTCCGGGACAGCCAGAGCTATACAGCGAAATCCTGTCTCCAAAAAACTTAAAAAAAAAAAAAGTTTGAAAATCCCTGCTCTAGAAACATCCTCTGGATGTTTGGACGTTGGAAACACTGAAGGAGCTCGCTGTTCTGTGCAGAAATACTCGCCATCTGCACCTGTCTCCACCCATGCCTCTCAACACTGGGATTACAGACTAGTACCCTGGGGAATGGCCTCTGCACAGATGTTGGAGAGCTGGACCTAAGTCCTTGTGCCTACCCAGGAGGCACTTCCTTCATCGAGCCATCTCCCTAGCTAAGGAGAAGCTTTCTCAGTGACAGATCCTATCCTTCGGGGTTTTGATTGAAATGTTCAGCCTCTCTAAATGGTTCCAAATGTGCAGCCGATGTCATACAGCCCCGGGAGGCCTCCTAGTCCTTTGAGAAACTGTACCATAGCCACAGATCTGGGCTCTGCCGGTGCAGAATGAATGCGGAGAGCTTCTTGCAGCCCGATGAAAAAAGTCTCTCGTTGCCCCAGGTACAGCTATAAGCCAGAATGAAGCCAGCTACTTCCATCCAGGTGCCTAAGCCTCTTCCTGCACGCGTGCTCACTGTAACCCTTCACTGTGGCTTTCAATCTGGGAAACCCGTGTGGAAATTTGTTGTGGCAGAGCAAGACATTAAGCGTGGAATGTTCTCTGCCAGCTATAAAAGTAGCAGAGGAAGAAAGGTTGTACAAAAGACTTAGTGATCTCCAACAGGCAAACAGACACACGAAAACCAGAGAAGGGTTCCCCACAGGCTATAGCACCCTGTAAAGGCGCCTGTGAGTCAGCTCAGGGAGGTCCAGCCCCTGCAGGAGAGCCTGATTTAGGATCAGCGCCTGCTCCCTGGCTGGGCTGGGCTGGGCTGGGCTGCGTCTCCTCCCAAGACCCAGCTTCCCTTCTCCCTGGTTGCCTAAAGTGTCACATTTGCTCATTCCCAAGCTCTCTCGCCCACCCCCTTTCCAGACAGTTTGCCAGTGAACAGGGGCTGTTGTAACCCACCTACCGGCCTCTTTCTTTGGAGACTGCTGTTAAGCAACTTTCAACTCCCCTCATTGCAAAGGTATGAAGTTCCTCGGGAAGCCCAGCAGCCACACAGCTGCTCCTCTGCCTCTTTGCTGGCTCCTTTTGAAGATTCTGCTGCCGGGGTACTGTCACCCTTATGACAACCGCTATGCTGGGTAAGTGGAGGCAACTTCCTGTCCTGCAAGGCTTTGATTTGTTTGGTGGGTTCTTTAGCTCTCACCGTGCCTGACCGTTTTGTTGTTGTTTGTGGTTTCTGTGCGACTCTGAAGGCTTTCAATAGTTCCCCGCCCCTATAAAACGTATAGACAGCATCCAGCATTTCGGTTCAGCGGACTGAGAAAGCCCGGTAGGCAAGAGTCTGCCTAGATACTGTTTCGAGTGTCCCAGCCCCAGCTGTGGCCTCGAAATTGAATGCGAAAGTGTCCTGGGGTGCCGTGGCCAGGATCTGCAGCATCTGCCTTGGTTGATGCTCAGCGTAAAGGATACTGTTGTACCACGTGAAGTATGACCCGAAAATTAAGCAGTCTCCTTTAGAACTGTGCGTACCTGCAGTGGGCTAAGATTCACCTGTGACTGATTTAAGAACTAAATATGGTTTTTAAAACTATTCCAGAGTGACTGTTAGTTATTTCAGATCTGGACAGCTCAAATAATTCAACACAAAATAAGCAGATTTTTTTTTAAATAAAAAAGGCAGAATAAAAGTAGTCAAGTGTAAAATCGCTGGTATTTTTAAGAAGGAGAGATGAGAAGAGAGTGGCTTTCTCCTCTGGAAAGGTTAGCTGCGTCTGAGATGGCGATCTTGGGGAAGCACAGAGCAGGGACTGGAGACGTGTGCCGCTGTGCACATTCTTACGATCCTCAAGGCTTGCTGAGGTACAGACAGCGTGTGTTTGGCTCAGATTTGCAGAAGGCTGTTCTTGGAATCTGGAAGTTATAGAATGCTGGCATTTCAGAGAGAAACCATCTTCTAGTTCCGTTGCTTAAAGCTGAAGAGGGGCAGTCGTGTCCCTCTCTCTAAACTGTACCCCTCAGTTGTCTCCGGTCAAGAGAGTTTAGCCTCCCAAAGAGCAGTTGCTCTTTTTTCGGAATAGTGTGTGGAGTCTGTGAGAGCCTGGAGTACAGAACGGTGAACTGTGCTCCCCTTTCTCTGTCCAGGGACCTGGACTCGGCTTTTATTTAGTGGTCTTCCAAATACAGGATTTACACGGAGACATTCACAAGCATGTCCCTAATTGCGGAGAATGAGGGATGGGGGAGACATTTGGTGAGATAGAGGTGGGAATATAACCTTCAAATTTCCCACCTGTGATTATTTTTCCCTGGGGCACAGAAGGGCAGTTACATCCAAGGGGTTCTTTCTAGTCTCCTGCTCAGGAAGGCCCAGGCTTTAAATCCTGTAGTTTGTCTGGCGCACACAACACTCATTAGAGATGCGGGCAAAGAAGTCCCTGCTAATGATCCACCACCGGCAACCACACTCCTCCCTCTGGTGGAGGAGCTAATCTGACCCTTTGGCTGATGTCAGACCAGACGATAAATATATATCACCAATTTACATGTGCTTCGAGTGATACAGGCGCTCACCCCTCCACTCAGCCATAGCCCTGTTCATAATTACTCCAGGGCAAAGCACTCATCAATAATAAGTCACCAGGCCTGCTTCAGCCGAGCAGGTGTGTATCCTCCCCCGAGCACCACTGGGGGCAGGAGAATGTTCTAGCAAATGGAGCCACTCCTGGGGGCAACAGTCCTGCCTCCTCTCCTGCTGTGCACTGAAGGTAGCAATGGCCATTTCTCTTACGCTGCAACATAATAAGATAGTCCCGGATGTATAAATTACCGGATACCTGAAAGCTGGAAGGAAAAAAAAATGAGAAGCTGAAGGATTGCTCACTACCTGTCCATCATAATGGAAGCCTCAGGCCTCTTGAAAATCAGAACTACTTCTGAGATGTTTACCATTGAAAATTTAGCTCGCCTTCAAGAGACAGAAGTCATTCTCTCATTACCAAGGACAAATGCTACTCAGATTTGAGAAGGTTTTGCTTTGTTTACTTAGGAACCACTCTGCATGTTTAGCTCTTTAGGGATCAAGAACTTGGTAGGAAAATGGTAAAATACCATCCAGCATTGCCTTTGTCTGCCTATTTATAGCGTGATTGTAAGCTGCACCATTGTTATCCCTTCATAGGTTTTGCTGATTTTCCTGTTAATAATTATGGGTCAACCTTATTCTTTGCATTCTGGTATAGAAATTTGGCAGGTCTTGCCCAAACGCAGCACAACATGACTGTCACCTGCAGGAAGGACCCTGAGCATGAATAGAAATGTTCAGGGAAAACAGCGTGCCCTTCAGAGCTGCTAACGAACATCATCGGCTCCTCTCTATACAAACAACAGTAGAACACAGCCAATGTGTGTAATAGAGGCTGCCTAGAAGTGTCTCGGGAAATAAGTTTTAAAATGAGTTGGGGAAGCTACAAGCCCACGGGGGGAATCTGAAGACAGAGACTGAGTCCTGTTTTCGGTAACTGTATCAGATCATACAGCCACGAGGGAGGCTTAAAAAGACAGGTGAGAACAACAATTTGATTTCCAACACTATTACTCCACCACTGCACCACTAGTTTAGGACCGCAGGGGCTAGCAACGCCCAGTCAGACATTCCCGGGGTAATCAAGGGGCACTCGGTAAACCGGCAATGCCGCTCGGTCTTGTCTTCTTTCCCTTCGCCTTGTTTTCGTGGAAGGACCTAGCGATTTGCTGTCCTGCGAGGTTAGGGCAGACAATGATCTGCAACAGTGAAGCCTAGGACCCAAGTGCAGGATGTCATGAATCTGAGAGTTCCTTCTGCGATGGTGGTTGAACCTTTTCAATCAGAGAAGACTTCGAAGTCTCCGCTTTTCTAAAACTGGTCAGCATGGCCAGGACAGTCCCATTTGTACCTCCTGTTCTGACGTATTATTTGACAATGCCCTCTTTGTGTCAGAGAAGAGTTCCCATGGATAGTATCTCATGTGTGGGACACTTTTGTTCTTACGCCATTGGCTGCTTTAATGGGGTCACTTGCATTTCTCGCAACTACCTTCTCATTTCATTTCCAAAGAACAAATTTGTCTGTGATTATCCCATTTCAGTGAAAAGCGCATCATTTGTTCCTTTTTGTCCCTGGGAATGACTCCCACTTACTTCAGAACCAGTTTGCCTCAATCTGGAGTAAGCTCCTCCTAAGTGATGTGTCTCTAGTCCTTTCTCATACTGATGATCTTACTAAAATGACATGTCTGTTATTCTTTTGCTCAAAGGTCAACTTTGGCTCCCTGGTGCTACCTTGGTCAAATTCAGATTTCTCTGCCTGGCTCTCAAGGCATCTATAATGAGTCTGCCTCTGTTCTACTCTTCCTGTTCCCTAAGACCCACCCACCTCTAACCAAAGAAGTGGAGTAGCTCTGCAGGCTTCTAGCCACCAAAGCAGGCAGACCAGAAGCCTAAGGCACAGAGCAGTGCTCCCGGCTCCCGGATGACAGAAATGTGCCGGCTGTGTGTCTGGGACATTCGAAAGCACATGTGGCAAGTCAGTCATATTGTTGATTTTGAACCAGTCCCCCAGTCCCCCAGTCCCTTCTGGAAGCTCCTTTACTCTTTCCCTCTGCTAATGGTAGAGTATTCTTAGTTCTCCTTGTGCTGGCTCTAAGCAGGGCCCTGAAGAGCTGAGTGTTTATCAACTCGTATAGCAAAGGCTTTCCTCACTGCCGTATACTGCGTGTTAGGGCTTCGTGCTTTGTTTTCTAAAGATGCACAGGCTGTAGCTCTCTATGCTTCTGAACCAGCGGTTCTCAGCCTGGGAGTTGTGGCCCACACGGCAGTCCCCTATCAGAGAGCCTGCATATCAGATTTTCCTTACAATGTATAACAATAGCAAAATTACATTTATGAAGTAGCAATGAAAACAATTTTATGGTTGTGGGTCACCGCAGCATGACGGAACTGTATTAAAGGGTATCTGCGTTAGGAAGGTTGAGAAGCACTGTTGTGAACTGAACTCACAGGCAGGCTATGAGACCAGGCTCTCTCTCAGCGCACACCCTGTTAGTGGAAAGAGGAATGTTTCCACTACTCCTGAGCCACGTTCTCCTAAGAGCCCAGTCTGGTAATGGAGTCTTTATCTTATGGCACCAGGATGTCTTCCGGTGATGGCAATGACCTATAATCCCCTCATCTCTTGAAAAGGCAGCAAAGGCTGCTAATGCTTCATCACATCACAGTTTCGACTGGCCACAAACATACCGGCGATACTTCTCCGTCTCCACACAGAATTAAAGAGGAGGGCGTGGAAGTGTGGCGGAGAAAATGGAAGTCATCTTGGTGACTTGCTTTTTAGAGACTTCATTGTGATCGATCAGTAGGTTACTAGTCTCCCAGGTTAGAATTTGCTCTGCTGAGTCCATGGCATTCCGTTCTGCCAGAGGCATCTGCTTTTTCATGGTAAAACGGACTGCAAAAGAGAAAGTTCCAGGAGTATGGGCTGGCTGCTGCTAAAACTGCTCTAAAATCTATTTCATTGCATAACGAAATAAACTTCTAAGTAGTTCCTTCAACAAAATAACCATCTTTGTCTTTTTTCAATATTTTTAAAGGATAAAACATTTTCTTTTAATGTCTATTTTTAGTATATTATTGGGTTGCCTTGCTTTTGTTTGGTTTCTTGTTGCTATAGCAAAGATCCCCATATCCTTAATAACCTAACTAAATTCATGTTTCACTCATATAAAACTTCAGAACATTCTATGGTGATATGCAAAATATTCATCAGTATGGTTATGGGCCAAGGCCGGTTCAGGCACCCTCTCCTCTGTCCAGAGAACAATCTGGGGATCTCTCCTTGGACCTGGGGTCCCCTTTATAATCAAGTCTCTTGTAAACCCTAAAATGACTCCCTTAGTTGAGAAATATACTTCCCTGATCCCATAACCATCCTTTCTCCCTCCCCCCATCCCAATCCCCCGAGCTTTCCCCATTCCTCCCCTACTGCCTTCTCTCTAACCCTCTCCCCTTCCAACAATCCCTCCCCCATGCACCCGAGGTTGCCTGGCACTCTTGTCTACTTCCAATCTCCAGGAGGATAACTACATGATTTTCTTCAGGTTCACCT